CAGCCAACACATGAGAGCAAGGTAGGTGCAACAACTTCGGTTTGTTGCATGTACACTCACACGTTGGATAAAATTCCGTTCCAATTTTTACCTCGTGTGTCTTCACCTCATTTCCAGAACCAAAACCATCGGTAGGAAGCTGAACCTCATACCTCCTTTCTTGATTCCCTATGAGTCTGACAGTGTGCTTCTTTGCTTTCTCTATCTTCTTTGCCATGTATTCCATGACACGGCTACAATAAGGTGTGTTCTGATTATCTTCAATATGCTTCTTTGCTAACTCGTGCCTTTCTCTGAAATATCTCAAAGTGCCGTGGAATACAGCCTCCACAATAGCTGTGAGTGGCAATGCTCTATTCCCTCTCAGCACAAAGTTATACACCTCTGCAAGATTGGTTGTCATATGGCCATACCTAGCTCCATGTGTGTCATGCAGCAAAGACCAATTCACTGGAGGCTCTTTCTCTATCCACTCAGAAAAATTCTTTATTGCCCTTCCCTTCTTTCTCTTAGTATTAGGAGGGTCAATTGCTCGCAAGTCACAAAGACCTACTGGCTCCTCTAGCTCCGCGATGAGTGCTGCTAATTTAACTTGATCTTCTTCCATTTTCTTCCTCGCATGGACCTGCTTCTTAGTAAACTCATCTAGTTTTGACCAAATAAATTCGTATTTGCGCTGTTGGCTCTGCTTGCATAATTTTTTGAACAAGTTCATCAACCGCTTGTTCTTGAACTGTGAGAAAAAATTAGCCCCAAGATGGCGCATGCACCATCGGCTCTGCAAGTCCCTCCAAGGTGTTGGTTCGTCATCTGTTGGATTATGAAGTGTCTTCACGACCTTCAATATACCAGCATGTCTGTCATGAATGACACACATGTTTGGTCGGTCCTTCACGATGGCAATTTTCACTTGGTGGAAGAACCATACCCAGCTGAGAAAGTTCTCACCCTCCACAAATGCCATGGCAAGTGGGATGATTTGATTGTTCCCGTCCACACCAATAGCAGTCAGAATTTGCCCTCTATACTGACCGGTCAGGAATGTACCATCCACAAACATAACAGGAGGACAATGCCGGAAAGCTTCGATGCACATACCAAAAGAGAAGAACACTCGTTTCAACACCTTCAAATTTGGTATACTCAGCAACCTCATGTGTTGTACGTTCACATAAGTGCCGGGATTCCTCTCCTTCAGTATGCCCAGGAGACGGACAACATTATCATATGAGTCGAAGAACGTCCCAAACCTTTCCTCCATAGCCTTCTGCTTAGCCCTCCAAGCCTTCCCATAAGGAATGACATAATTCCATCTGACCTTCACTGCTGTCTGGATGTGTTTTGCTTCCATATCTTTCTTCTCTACTATCTCAGTATACATGAGTTGCGCAATGAGACTTGAAGTCAGGTTCGGATGCTTCACCAACAGGTTCTTCCTCACACAATTATGTGGGACGACAATGGTGACAACCCAGTGGATTTCATACTTCGGCACATGCCCGTGCACCTTCCTAGGACAACTTGTTTCAACACATTTCACGGTATAGTTTGTTGGACTTGATATGTGTGTCCGGAAAACCCTCTGCGTAGACATAGCCCACTTTATCACCGCATACTTCAATTTTTTCTTTGTATCAAACATAGCCCCTATCTGTACTTGGTTCAGATTATACTGCCGTGGAGTCTCATGGCCATCGTTGACCGTAAGGCCGGTGGATATGTCCTGCTCCCATGCAAAAGGAATCGGTACCTCCACTTCATCCTTAGAATTTTTAGAATCCAGTTCCTCCACCAATCCATCCTCGTCCTCTTGCTCCATCATCCTCTGCATTTCATCCCCTTCCTCATCCCCATCAGCAAAACCAGAACCAGCTAATATTATCGACTGGCTACTCTGCCCAGTATCAGGACCACAAACATTGTGTGGCACGTACTCCGACTCTTTCTCGGGTTGGCTAGCATACACATCTTGTGGCTGTGACCCGGATAAAACAATCTCGGTCGCCACTTCACTGCCCTGACCGGTTTCATACCCCCTGTGGAGTTGTACGGCATTCTCCTCCTTCGGCACAAGTTGCACAAGTACATATGGGTGGATTCTTCGGTCTCGGCAGCGTCTTAACAGGGACAACCAATGTTGGCTCCTATCTACCGGCATCAACTCCCACTTGACATTTTTACAAGATTTGGTTCACAATGCGTGAATACTGACGGAACATACTTCAGGATCAAGCCCGAAACTAGTTGTCAACCAGTACTTCAATTGTCTAATGTCCAGTCTGTCCGGGTCTGCTAGTGTCATGACGCCATTTTTAAACTCGCTAAGATCAACTCCCAACTCATTATATCGAACGTTACCAGCGCCGTACTAAACCGTCAAATTTACTGATTCAGACATTTTCACCTGTCAGACATTGTCATCTTCTCATTAATCACAACGAACACTAATATTACCCGCTACACTGACTACGCGCTAAAATGCCACCACAAACATATTAACACTAACTAATAAACTATACAATTTAGAGAAAAATTGTGACGCCATGGTTATACCTTCGAAGCGTGCGTCTCTTCCGGTCACCGGCACCGGCCACCGGACAACGGCAGTGCCGCCCACTCGACGGCCGGAGGTTCAACTCCGGTCACCCCCCAAGCTGCTGCTCCTCCTCACCACCTCCTCCTCCACAGCTGCTGCTCCTCCTCACCACCACCTCCTTCCCAACCGGACCTCCTCCACCCAACCATGGCTCCTCCCCCAAGCGCACAAAAAACTATCCCATAACAAAAAAACACCATAGGCCGGTGGAGAATGCTATGATCTATCTATTCTGTGCCTTGGTTGTGTAAATGAGTGCAAATTGGAGGAGATCAGGGAGGAGACCGGAGCTCTACAGAGAAGAACGAGAGGAACGAGAGAAAGAAGAGGCGAGTAGGAAGAGGAAGGTGACGACGGGATTGGCCTTATCCAGACCTTTTCGGTCTAGGCCTGGCCGAAAAGCTTTTCGGCTGCGGGCTGGCCGAAAACGGCCCATTTCGGTCTAGGCCTGGCCGAAGCTACTATTTTCGGCCCAGCCCCAACCGACAAGACCTCTTCGGCCCAACTGAGGCTCATTTCGGCCTACAGCTGGACGAAAAGTCCTTTTCGGCCTAGTTCTGGCCGAAAACTACCACTTCGGCCACCACGAGACCGACAGGGTCATATTTCTAGTATATTGGCAATGGGTACTATAGTTTCCGAATTAGCTATAAAAAAGGTGATAGTTTTGAAAAAAAATCTAACTTGTATTGTAAGGTAAGGAGAAGTTACAAACAGAGCCGACCATGATGTGTGAGCCGGCCGGGACTCTGTAAGCCGCCTGGCCTCAACCTGTGTATATTAAGGTGAGACCCATCGGCGGGTTAACTAAAAAAAACAAGCAATTGAAAGCTAGGTCAAGCGTATCTCGCTCCCTGGTAATCGAAACCCAGGCAATACAATCTAAAGCGGGAGTAGGCTTTTACCTCCCTCGTGAGTGGCCGAACCTGGGTAACTCTTGTGTCCTTTGTCCCGTTCAACCCCTTCAAGCTAACCTAGTTGCGATGGCTCCACGCCTAAGTCCTTTCACTAGGACATTTGTCGTGACAAAACCACGACAGAACCCACTGACATGCTCTTTATAAAGATGTCCCAACATACCGCAAACAACACACCAATCGGGGAGTTTCTCATATCTCACCCTGTAAATTTGGCGCTCACCATCTTGAATCATAGATACTGCATTCCTTGGAGGCTTTGTGACGTTGATTCTGACCCAAACACGATGAAAATTACGAGTAAAGTCCTGTGATTGCGGTTCCGTAGACATCACTTCGCCCACCTTGTCCGCAAGAGCTGGCACTAGATGATAATATAGGGGTGGAACATCATGAATTTGAGCCCATATCTTGATAGAGTCAAGCGGGACAGTTGTGGGTTTTGCCAGACCCATATGGCTTGAGGATAACAGCGTCGCCCCTGAAGTGCCATGGCCCGTCCTGGGTGACTCTCTCCCAATCCCCCAAGCATGAGAACTGATCAGTATAAAGGTTTTCCTCAAGTGGCTTGAATTTCACCTCTTGTGCAAGATCCCAAGCTGCTCTCATATTCCGAAAGAACCAGTATTACGAGTAGGTTTTGGCGGAGTGCACCCTGGCGAGCGCGATTCACCACGCCGCCTCCACCGGAGCTTCCTTTTCATCAACCACCACATCATCGAGATCTTCCTCTCGTAGCCCCAACTCTTTCATCAGCATCTCTACATCATCGGTCTCTGCCGGATCAGCCGCAGCCGAGCCCGAAGCCTTTCCTGAAGACATCTCAAACCCTAACCCGACTAAACTTAGATCGGGTCTTCCAGATGGAACCCTAGCCCTCCGCCTTACCCAGCCCCGCCAAAGACCAGTGGGCGTGGCAGAGCACACCCCCCGATCAAGCATGAGGACCAGGGGATCGAAGCGGAGGTAGGGAACGATGTTCTCGACGGCGGCGAAAAATCGCCCCGGGAGGAAGGGTTCTAGCAAGAGGGAAAGAACAAACTTTTTTTTTGAGTGGCAGAAAAAGAACAGACTTTTTTTTAGGGCAAGCATTTAGCTTTATTACGAAACGTTGTGGGCAAGATCGCCATTACACTCAGCAACAATGGCTGGAATTACATGATCAGCAACTAAGTCATCACCAACTTGGCGAGCAAGGCCTAACTTGGCCATATGGTGCTTTTATTCGCGTCCAGCTGTTGCTGTCGACCGTCCGGTCATGTACGTGCTGCTCCGGCCTATGCACGGTGCGCGCATGGGCTATCATTTGGTAAGGCCCATGAGGATATCCCGAGCCCATAAAAACAAAGACTCAGTACAGTCCAAAGGAGACCAGTACCACTCATAGAAAAAAGGGGCCAGCGGCCCAAAATGACTAGACCCTAAACCATCCCTCTTCTCCACTTCCCCTATCCCTCTTTTGCTCGTGGAAAAAGCTCGACCTGCTAATGGCGGCGGCGGCGGACTTCACGCAGAGCAAGCAGGCCATGTCGTACGCGCTCTGCAAGCACCTGAACCTCGATCCAGTAAGCCCCTCCACCCTTCCACTCTTAAAACCTTTGGGTTCCGATTTCTGTTGCTTCGGAGGTTCGGAGCGATAGTGTTCCGTGTTTGTTGTTTACTAGTCATGTGGGCGTGATTTTCCATTCTTACAGGTGCGTGCTGAGATTTTTTAATGCAGATTTGTGGGGCTCTGGGCATGGTTAGTTCACCGATAATCAAGTTTGCATAGTATCGTGGCTTAAATCCCATGTTGTAATTATGCTGCGTTGTGGTATCTAGGTTTGGCGATTTTATACATGATTTGGTCGGGGAAAGTGAAGATATCTAAGTTACCGACAGTTAAATTGCCGGATCAGTTAGGGGCCTGAATAATACCTGTTATATTATGAAGATTCTCCAGTTAGGGGTCCGTTTTGCTATCGAGATTGTTTTGCTGATAAAAATAATACGGTACGAAATACATAATTTGTTAAATAAGTGAGGCGTCTAAATAAGTTCAGAATGTCAAGTTACTCGTATGTTTTGTTCAAGATAAAAGGTAGAACTATATTTGGTCAAACATATGTTAATATGCAAGAGCTTTAGACATCTAACACACATCTTTTGTGCTTAATATCCTGTTTAATATGGCTGCGTATTTCTCTCTGGTTATGGAGTAATTGTTATCAATCGGGTTGGAACATAACATTCTTGTTCTCATCGTTGCTATACTAATCCCTCAAAGGTGCTTGTTTGATTGCCAAGAATGTGATAAGGAATTGAGTAGGCTAGTTAGATGCATATTCTGTGGCTACCATCTGGCACATAGCTAGAACATACTGTAGTTCAATAGTTTTGTTGCAAAGATGAAGCTTGAAACACTAGTCCTCGAATATTTTTGATACTTAGATGTAAAGAGGCCTTCACCACATGCAGCATATGCCCTTTCTCCTCGGCATAGTCTCTGTCATATATCTTAATTTTTATGGAGTAGTGTATTCTCTTGTTCAAAACATTTGCCTCATTTTTTTTTTCTTCTGGTGACTGACCATGGTCTGATATGGCACTTATTGAGTAACTTAGGGATGGTTTGTATTTTGGGTACCCCTGGTCCCTGGACCAACATGTGTAGTGCACAATGTGCAAACTTTGACGCGTACTATGTACCGTGTTATACTGTTATCTTTCATAATTTGCTACTTCTTTCGAGCAAATTTTGCCCTTCTCACTATTATCAAGCTTTATTTGCATGGAGATTTATTGCTAGAAACAGTTGCTAATTTATCTGCTGAATATTACAGAAGAGCATATCCAGTACACTTATCAAGGAGAATGATATTGCGAGCCTATTCTCACATATCGTGACCTCACCGCAGGATGAGGTAACTGTTTTTGCATGTATGTGCAATGTACACTAATTCTGTTCACTACTGCTTATGTACTCTTACACAATCTCCTTTTCTTCATTGGTAGGTCAAGAAGTGGGTTGAGTTCTCCAGCAATTTTGTTCTAAGTGATGGAGAACAGCATGCGTTACTTGGTAATTTGAATCAACATTTGTCCCAGATGTCGGTACTATTAGCAGGTTTCAAACCATCAGCGGCGGACATTATTGTGTTTGCAACCGTGCATGTTTTCATGGTATGTATGTTGCAACTTTACCCATTTACGTGAACACCATCATATCTTATTTGGTATTTTGGGATGTATTTTTATGGTCACTGTCTTACTACTCAATAGATATGCCTTTTCAGACATTTACTTCCCCAAGTTCTAATTGTTCATTGCTTTTTTCAGTGTCATCTTAGTGACAGTGAGTCGCAGAAATATCCAAATATATTGCGGTGGATGGACTACATTCAGGTTTGAGATGGATCTTTTGATTATTTTTTAATAATGGCATCTATCTTTTGTCTTAAATTGTTCCTGTGGGCTGTACACACCATCTCTTCTAGAATCAAAGAATCAAATTCATATAGATTTGAGTTTCTTGCCAACACAGAACTAAATACATCTCCAATGTTTTCCGTCTCATTTCTTATCAGTCACTATGCCGCCCATTCAAAGATGTCATTTTAATCTCATATCTGAAATTACTGGACCAGATTTTGGAAATAGCCATGTTTTCAACTATCAATTTTATCTGATATTTGAAGCCTACCCAGCACACTCTCGTAAAACTAGTTTTTACACCTTTCGACACTAACTCATGGTTTATATTGTAATTTGTAGCTGGGAAGTTATTTTAGTATCATTTGTAACCATGGCTTTATGCTGGTGGGAGTCTCTTCTAAAAAATAAATACCAGATTGTTATTAATATTATGCCCACATTGTCAGTCATTTATATCATCTCATGTGAATTTACTGATTGATGCAGAATGTAGTTGATTTTGGTATGACGCTGCAAAAGATAAACTTGACCAAATCTATCTTCAACCCACCTGCATCTGCACCTTCTGTAAGTAATATTTTGGTGATCTGAAAGTATTTTATATTTTCCTTCTAAATTAATTTACTTTCATATCAAGCTGTATGGGAAATTATCCCCGTAGCATGCTGTTGCTAATTACTGTGTTACAAGATCAAATTTGTGCTTGATCTGCTAAATAAGTGCTTGTTTATATTTGTAGAATCTAACTGATGCTACACTATTGTTAGTACTACTAAAGTGCAAAAACATTAGTCTTCAGAGAATTGATAAATCACTGATAGACTGTTTCTTTCAACTATCCTAAAAATGTCTATCAAAATGATTATGTTTAAATCATAAAAATAACCATACCATTTCTTAATTCTACTTGACAGCACCCAAAGAAAGCTGATAAAGGAGATGGTGAACCAAATTCCAAGAAAGCTGTTTCAGGACAGAAGATTGCGGATAAGTCAGATGGAGCTGCTGATTCCAAAAAGGCTGCAGGGGAGGTACTGATCTACATTAGTTATTGATATTTCTGGACTATTATTATTTGTAGAAGGCACTCTTGGTACATCGTGCTGTGAAGATTTGGCTGGAACTTTACCATTTTTACTCCATTTCTGGCCTTAGTAATGCATGGTAAACTATAGGATATGTTTGTTTGATGCTATTGCTATATCATGCCCTATTAATTTTCTCCGGCCATTGGCTGGCCAAAAGACCGGTCATACTATCAGACTGCTTGACCCTTTGTTGACCAAAGTTTTGGCAAGATATGAAGGGAAGGAGGGCAGGTTAATTTTCATGGGCAGCCAATATTTTGGAAACTAAACAAGCAAGACCCAGAATATCATAGGCTGCCAAATTTTTGGTCGAGCAAATTTTGGCACCAAACTAAGCATACCCTTCGTACTGATTCATGTAGCCACTTGTGCAATACACCAGAGAACATGAAAGACTGTAAGTATTAAAATGTTTAGTATGTACTCCCTCCGATCCATGAATAAGCGTTGCAGTTTTGAACTAACCTTAGTTCAAAACTGCGACAGTTATTTTGGATTGGAGGGAGTACAACTTTTGCATAGCGGTGTTGATTTTCATGTTGTTGTTGTGGTGGTGGTGTTGATTTTTCATGTTTGTACACCATTGTCAGAACCTATTTCTTGTGCAATATGTCATTTTCTATTAGTTGGTGAGTTTCTTTGCTGTGTTGATTCTTGTCAGAATAAGGTTCCTGGGGATAAGGCAAATCCTACTTCTGCCAAAAACAACAAACCTTCTGGGGATAAAAAGAAAGTCCAAGAGAAGACTGCCGGCAAAACAACAGAGGCAGCTGCAGAGAAAGCTCCACAGAAAAGTGCAGAAAAGGATTCTGAGTGCAGTGTTAGTATCCTGAATATACAGGTCGGCGTTATTCGCAAAGCATGGAAACACCCATCAGCTGACAGGTACAGTAAATTTCCACCCAACACCTGTAAAAAGGTCCTCTGTTTTTTTGTCAGTCTTCTTTCTGACATTCCAACTGGTTATCTTTGCAGTCTTCTGGTGGAGGAGATAGATTTGGGAGATGGCAATGTGCGTCAAGTTGTTAGTGGTCTTGCGAAGTTCTTCAGCCCAGATGAACTTGTTGTAAGTACTCAACAGCAGCAATGAACTTGAATGATTCTTGTTCATTTTTCTCTCTTATACATGATTCTGTGTTCTGTTATAAATATTTGCCCTTACTTTTGAAGAATCGCCATGTTGTCTTGATCACAAATGTGAAGCCTGGGAAGCTGCGGGATGTAATGTCTGCTGGATTGGTATGCTCTGTTGCATCCTATTGTAATTGTGTTCTATCCCTAAGCAAAGCTTCTTGAATTTTGGCTATTAGTTTGTTTACCATCTTTCCCCAAAATACTACTGTGGTGAAATGCAAGCTCCAGGCAAGCTTTGCTGTGCACTGCTAACTCACTAGGCATGTGCATATTACTAGACCTCATACTGATAGACTAAAATCATCACTGTAACTCATGGAAGAGAATGAGAAACTATTTTGAAATGAACTTATGATGTGAAACCCTTACCATGTAGTTACAGTATCTGAAGCGGACCAATGATAAATTTATGATGTGAAACCCTTACCATTGTGTTTGTCTGTCTTCTGATGTTGTCAACCCTCAGTCCAAACTGTAAACGTCCTTGTGTTTATAGAAATTTTTGTTTTCGACATGTTCTAAATTAAACATATTACCAGGTCTTGTGTGCTTCAAATAAAGATCATACAGTTGTGGAGCCTTTGATTCCTCCGGAAGGAGCCAAGCTTGGAGAACGCATTTGTTTTGCTGGGTAAGAATCATATGTTGTAAATGGCGAATTTATACATTTTATAAGGGGTCCCATTTTATAAAGGTGTGTTTGTGCTCTTCTATAGAGCTTTTACTATGTTTAGTTTTCTTATCTGCATTCATAGCTATGACATATCCGGTATGCCATTTAGTATGCAGTTCTGGACTTCTGGTGGTTGATATGTAAGCTGTTGCAAAATATGTTGGTCCGAATTGGATGGACCAAAGGATCATGCTACCTGTTGGGTAGTTGTCTTTTAGTTTTAAGGAATATCTGCGCTCGTGGCCACCTGCGAAACAAAATGTTTTAGTTTTAACACTTGTGTCAAATTTTGCTCAATTGTCTCCTATTTGGTTCCTATTTGACTGCATCTGTTGCAAATATTTATGGTTACAATTTTCCAAATTTTCTAGGTTTGATGGGAAGCCGGAAGATGTTCTAAACCCAAAGAAGAAACAGTTGGACAAGATAACACCGGTAAGCATTTATCGATGGTCAATTTTGATGTTATCTCGCTTATTTTTTACCTTTTTGTGATCAAAAGTTGGCCATTCAGCATGATTTGAGTAAATGCACTCAGTTTTGTCATTAGTTGGAGAACCTACCCTTATATTGCCATCAAATATAGAAAGGCCTTCCTGAATGCTATTGCATAGTTATTCTGCATGGATTGAATGAATTAACAAATAACTTTGCTTTATTATGTAATCCAGCATCTCCGTACCGACGAGAATGGAATTGCAACGTTCCGAGGGGTACCATTCACTACATCAGCTGGTCCGTGTAGATCCTCAGTTCCGAATGCGGATGTTAAGTGAGCAACTCGTTGAACATGCTGATTTCAAACATTGGTGTGCTACTAAAACACATGCGGATGTACCATTTTGTCTTAATGCCCATATTAAATGTTGCCATATGTTAACAGAGTTGTCAGTTCTTGACTTATAGTATCCGAGAAAAAATTTTGTTTTGTCTATGCGCAAAAAGGAAAAAATGACCCTGATGATATTGTTGTGCAAGAGGTGATCGACCGAGTGCACAGTCCTGTGTGCTGAGAATGGGGTGGCTCAGTTCTTAACCGTGGTTCCAGTTAACTATTATTGCTCTATCCCCCGCAAAAAAAAACTATTATTGCTCTATAATTGTGCAATGCCATATCCACAGTAATTACCTGTAGCTGTTTAGAGACCACCCAGTGATCTGAAGCAGTTACATCTTTAGTAGAGCAAGCAATACCTTGCTTAGCTGGAGAGTTTGCATGAGGCCATGGGAATCGAGTTCCTCTCTCTTTTTTTGGCCCAAGACTTCTTCCTTGTGGGGCTCCTTTTGCCTGACCTGCATCTTGCCTCTCTCCGTGGCAAAGTATTGTCTGGAATCTGATCAAAACTTGCCCTTCTCGCACACGAGGGAATACATCAATTCTTTGATTCCTAGGTTTTGGCCGCAACCGTCGTAGCAAGTTTAGCCTAGAAGCTGAATGTCTCTCAAAGTACTCCGGAGTAGTAGCTCAGTTGCGGTCTTTTGCCATGCCCAAGCAACCATCACCAGGCATGCTTTGGTATGTGTTCTTTTGGTGTCATCAAGCAACCATCCATTTGCGCCCACGTTCATTTTGCTCTTGGCACGGTGTCCGCGCCATGTCTGGGAGAAAATATTTCACATACGGTGCTTCCATGTGCTCGAAGAGTAGCGAACACACACAAATAGCAACCTCTGGCATCATTTTACTGGTTCCTACGTCCGGAACTGGAGCTGACCCTCGTGACCTGAAAAATGTACTCTAAAGTCATGGTATCCGCTCCAACAAACTCCACCTTCACGAATATGTACATCACTATGTGCATCCAACGACTCAAGTACTTGGGTGTATCATTTTGAATTAACTGGCACCATCGATGTGCTTGGAGCTACAAGCCTCCTTAGTGCCGCCACACTCTAGGTCTACGCCTTGTGTTGTCACACCTCAAAAGTCAAACATCATCGGGATGTGTCGTCGTCTCCGCTCTTATTTTCGTCTTTTGTGACATCGTTGATCTATTTGACCGTGTATGGCTGTTTGTCTGGTGTGTCATCTTGCCATTGAATTTGTTGTGCAACCATGTTTTACCCTATACAATGTTCGCTTTGTACATTGTACACGTGTTGCTTGCGCATCTGTAAATGCATGACCCGGACAACGCGCTCCAATGCATATATCATTTTTTGCGGGGTAATGCATATATCATTTGCATATGCGTTTGTCTTGTGTGTCTTGTCGTTGAACTTGTTAGAGTGCAACAATGTTTCACCCAACACCATGTCCGCTTTGTATAGTGTGCATCGTGTGTTGCTTGCGCATTTGTAGACACATGATCCCGCACGACGTGCTCCAATGCACACATCATCTGCATGTGCCTCATCAACTTCTTGCATGTGTTCAACAACTCAGGGCAGAACACCCCCCTGCCCAGGGTAACGGTACCAGAACACACATTTGATTGTGCATTGGTTTGCTCTATGTGAATGCACGCCTCATATGACGCATGTGATCTTGTATGCTGGTACTCTCCTCCCATGCACACCTGATATTTGTCAAATTGACACTGTTTTTCGATTGCTTCTCGAAGGCTATAAAAAAGTGCATGACTTATATCGCTCACACTCACCGACAACTTAAGTGCCACACACAATAGATCAAAGCTCGTGTTGTGTGGTCGTTTTCTTTCTTCTCTGGATCATCTTGTACATGACCTTTCTTGAAATCCAGCTCAGATTCCGTTTGTTAGAAATCTGAGACCTGCGTTTAGCTAGTTGTGTTGGAGATATGTCCTAGAGGCAATCATGTATGATGATATTTCCTATGTGTTTATGAATAAAGATAGTCCTTGGACATTATCAATGATGTATATCAGCAAGTACGTGACTTGTTTGTGGGATTATGCATTATATGATGATTGTCCTAAAAGGTCCCTAGTCGAAAGGGTCGTGTGGACGCGCAGCCGACTAGACTAGCATATGACACAGTCGATGGCTTGATCTCACTATACATGGAGCACTGGATGCTAATCGGATAATATGGACTCCGAAGGATCTGGTCGGATCTGACATAGTCGGATCCGAGTTGAGATAAGGTCCGAGTCAGACAGACCCAACTATGAGAAGCATCGATAGGTCATCTGTGAGTCTCTAGTACAACATACGTTCTATGTCCTAAGACCCGAGCTGGCGCATGTACTCGGGATGGTGACAGATCTGCTTAGGGCTTGACCAAACGCTACTCCGTGACTGGGTAGTTACAAAGGTAGGTTTCGGGCTTGTCCAGACCCATGCTGCGAGACATGGTCGAGCAAGATGGGATTTTCCCCTCCGATCAGGAGAGATATACTCTGGGCCCCTCGTGTGATCCGACCAAGATAAGCATGGCCATGCAACAAGGATTATGAGATAATCCGGTTTGTGGTCGGCATCACTGCAACGAGAAAAAGGTCGGGCTAGCACAAGGATGATAGACTCGCCTTGAGCCCGACAACATATACCATGTGGCAAAGGGAACATAAGTGTGATGTATAGGTTCGCCTAACCAGCTTCATCAGACACTTGGAGTCGGCATGCTTTGCTAGAGGCCGCTACCGACTAGTCGAGCCAGATGTGATCTGACTCGTGACCAAGTGAATGAGAACATAAGTGGTCGTGCGCTTAAGGGAAGAAACCAGTGAGGCTGGATTCGACTCCACGAGTCAGATGTGATCCTACTCGGACTCGGACCCAGACCGAACATACTTTAGGCTTGAGGATCCGTGTGAGGCCCAAGTGTTGAGCCCACGAAGGATGCCTATATAAAGTGGAGGTGCGGCACACTCTTTGGTTGATCACTTCGGCGCCGTCACTAGGGCTTTGCATGTGTTGCAAGTAGCCACCTCCACTCGCTGCCGACTGTGTGATCGGACCTAGTAGTCCGTCGCATGGTGTTCCTCCTCCACACGCGGATACCGTTAGAGGCGGTGCGCTTGCGCCGCTCTGGCGAACCTGTACGTAGGATTCGATGACCGGCTATTCGAGGGAGATCGGACGTTAAGGAGACCGACTCCGGAGACGCTCTGCCTCAACTCTACTTCTGTTGCACGGCACTGCACGTCTAGTGGTAACGATCTGTGATCCATTCCCGTAGCATGTTCCTGGTTGTTCTGTGCGTAGGAAATTTTAATTTGCAGTCGATGCACCCTACCATAGAACCCAACAGTGGTATCAGAGCCTCTGCTATAGGATTTCGATTCAGACCGTATGCATATTAGGTATGTGGAGGCGGCAGATGAGATCTATTGTCGTTTATGAGATCGGCTATGTGCACGGTTGATGAGATCAACTGCACATGGGGATCGATGTGGCTATGTTTTATGATGATCGGAATCGATGAGGTTATGACACAACCTACCCCTACCAGTCAGTATCCACCATCGGGGTTAACAGTAAAACCTAAATCCTAATCGGATTCACGATGATCGATAAGATCGGTCAAGTCAGAAAATTTGGTGTGATCGGAGTACAGATTCTATCTGTGATTTCCGAAAACTTCGGGCGCTGCCCGCACTCGCGAGGGGCGTTGGCCCTTCAAACCCCGCCCGCTAACCAGCTAGCGGGACTGCAGTGTGCGTACCGCCTTGTATTTTGTACATGATGACTCAAATCGGTAGAATGCGATTCTATGCATAAATTTTGTTTTGCAGGTTTGATGTGAATAGGCATGTGTATGTGATGCATGTGTATAAATTATACATGGCCTGCGTGTCATGATTTGTCAACCGGTAGGAGCCAAAGAGTTGTCATTATAATGTATAACGACCTGCGTGTCGACTTGTGATTCTCTATAAAATTCATTACTAGTTGAAGTAGTTGGAAGACAGAGATCAATTTGGTGGCTTGGCATCCTGGTGTGACGAACAAGTCGGAGCCGTCCTGAAAGAACGTCCATGAAGGAGCCATACTATTTCATAATATATTTGTTTATTTGTGATTGGAATTGCTTCTTGTTTCTATGCATGTTAAAATGATAGAAAGAACCCTCGTTAATATCAAGCAAATTGACATCCCAGATGTTGCACCTTCGCACGTCAAGTACGTCTAGTAGTGGGCTCATGAAATTGAGGTGCTACTAGGTGTCCTTGAACTGAAGGGTTCGTGTCGGACACGGACATGCACCGCATCATGTTATCTTGACAAGGCTATCAAAATGTTTTTGGGCCTTGTGGCAAAGAAGGTTGGGAGCCGGGGTATAAGATACCTACCCGACCGATAGGAGTCGTATAGAGATACGATTAGCAAGGGGTTGCTTACCGGATAGGTATGTTGGCTAGCGGTGATGCTAAAGCTCACTAGTCACGCGCGCTAATCGGATCTCGAATCACTGAGAGTTTGGGGAGGGATGCCGACTTCAGTGGGAGTATTTTTTAAGGCTAGAATTACTCTACATAAACACATTGCTTAGTGATTGCATATTTTTCCGTTGTAGATCAATGGCACCACCTTCTCAACCAAACTTTGCATTGAAATTAATTCTGGAAAAGGATAAACTGAATGGAACAAACTTTACCACATGGTATAGAAATTTGAGAATTGTTCTCAAGCACGATAAAAAGGAACATGTTCTAGAGCATCCACTTCTAGAGGAACACACCGATGATGCTAATTCCACAACCAAGAATGCCTACCAGAAACTAGTTGATGAATCAAACGAGATGAGCTGCCTCATGTTGGCTTGTATGGAGCCCGAGTTTGCAACAACATTTCAAAGATATTGGGGCTTTCAATATGATCGAGGGTCTTGAGAGCATGTTTCAGGTGC